CATAATGAAAATCATTTAAATTTCTCAAGAAACAAACAGAAAATTAGCAAGATTTTTTGGGGAGGTGGTGGCTTTGATCCGAATTTTTGCTGGATAAAAACAATCAAACCAGAGATTGGCCCTCGGAAACCGACCCTCCTCTAGTTTGCCAAAGCCAGACTCAATCCCACCAATCAAGATCTAAAGAACCCATCCATTTCAAAAGCCTTTAGGAATTTATTCAATAATTGTTTGAAAAGGAAGAGCAGATTTTATTCAATAAAATAACTCAGACCTGGGTATAAGACATTATTTTCTCTTATCTGGCAAAATAATCGACCCACATCTGCACTGCTCTTGTAACAACAATATTTGAGGGAAAACCAAGGGACTGAACTCATATGAATCATATATAGGTTCGCGACGATGAGCAAATCCAGATCTGCGTTTCCTCGTGCCACTGCCCTCGCGCAACGAGAGCAAGGCTGGCCTGATGAATATCGCGACATGAGAGAAGGGAGAAGGAGAACAACAGAGGGAGAGGGGGAAAGAGAAAGGAAAGAGTAAGAGCACCGGTACCGCAGAAGGGGGAGGAAAGCATTGGCATTGAGGGAGACGGATTTGGAAGAGAAGGAAGAGGGAAAGGGTGCCTTTGTAATTTTAACTAATAACAAAAAAAAAAGTTAAATACCAATTTTGATCCTTTAACTTTAAGATTTGGTAAAATTTTATCCATTAATTTTTTATATGTATTTTTTAATCCATCAATTATAAAAAATATATTTGTTATTTTTTATTAATTATTTCATTAAATCAATTTAAGTACATATTTTTAATTTTTAAATTTATAATATATATTTTTTTCATTTTTAACTAAAAAATTTAAAAATTTAAAAATAAACATATTTAAATTAATTTAATAAATTAATTAAAAATAAAAAATATTTTTTATAATTAAAAAATTAAAAAATATAAAAAACTTAAATAATAAAATTTTAAAATTGAGGAAATAATATTAATATTTAACTTAAAATAGAATACCGCGTGACGGCCGGACAAAAGTCGCGCGATCACGCGGGAATCTGACGATCGGTCGTTCGACCGCCGCCAATATTGTATAGGGTTAAAGTCAACTGTAGTCCTCGTACATTGTGAAAATGTTCATTACCATCCCTCTACTAAGGAAATGTTCAATGTCATCCCTTTACTTTGCTTACACCATAATTGTCATACCTTTACTACTCTTTTTTTGTTAGATGTCATCCTTAATTGGATGTCATCCATTTTGCTAACTTTGACTATTAATTGCCTAACGGTCAAACATTTAACTTTTGTTAATTAATTTTTTATTCACTAACAGAATTTGTTAACTCTTTGTTAAAATAAAAAATATATTTGTAAAATCAATTATCAAAAATTAAAAATGTAACAATTTAATTTTAAAAGTTTAAAAAATAAAAAAAATTAATAACTTAAAAATAATTAGTAAATGACTTTATCACATATATGAGAACAATGTTAGATATCTACAATTAAATTGAGTAATTAATTCAATCTAACTAAAGAAATTTAATTAAGATTAAAAAAAATTTCTTGGCTATATTTTTCTAGTCTCTTAAATTTTCTATCTTAATTTAGTTAAGAAATTTTATTTAATTTCAATCAAAATTCTTTTTCCAAATTAAGCTAATTGCTTGATTTAATTATAAATATCTATTACTATTTTAGTATATGTGAAAAAGTCATCTATTAATTCTTTTTAGTTTACTAATTTTTTATAATTTTTGAACTTTTAGAATTAAATTGTTATATTTTTAATTTTTAAGGATTAATCATATAACTATTTTATTCCAATTGTAACAGAAAATTAACAGTTTTCATTAATTTAGGTGTTAAAGTCAAAAAGAGTAATACAAAACTAAAAAAGATAAAGAAATTGGTCCCACTAGTCTCATTAGGTGGATAAAAAATTAATAAACAAAGGGTTATTCTAATTTGTGTTTTAAGGATCATTTTATTTTGTGTCTTTAGGGTTATTCTAGTTTGTATCTTTAGGATTGGGTTAAAATTTTTAAAAAAAATAAAAGGTAATATTTAATTTATCAATTATCTAATTAAATTTATTTACGTGACAATAACACTAAAATTAATATTTATTTTATATTTTTTATACAAATTTATTATAAAAAAGTATCATTAATATGTACTCTTAGAAAAATTCATAAACAAAAGTTGAACATTTGATTATTAGGCAATTAACGGTTAAAGTTAATAGCAAAATGGATGGCATTCAATTAAGGATGACATTAAACAAAAAAGGGATAGTAGAGGGATGACATTGAACATTTCCTTAGTAGAGGGATGGTAACGAACGTTTTCACAAAGTACGAGGACTACAGTTGGCTTTAACCCTAGAGCGATGCTAGGGGCACTCGCTTTCTACACTCTCCGGCCAACACGTTCTCTTTTATTGGGCCACGTTATTTTGATTGCCGAGAGGTTGCGCCTGAAATCTTTAAAGAAGCTTACGTGGCCCAATGAAAGGGGAAGTGTTGGCCGGAGAGTGCAGAAAGCGAGTGCCCCTAGCACTGCTCTTAACCCTATTATATACGGCACCCACCTCAACCGTTGTTCATGTACAGCAATGAAGCAGATATTGATTGCCCGTGTTTGCAGTGCTCTGATGAGGAAGCGCCGATTGAAGCAGAGACAGCTTAAATTGAAGGTACGTAGATGTGCACTTGAAGAGATATATATTTCTTGAGAAAAGTTGTGGTATTTTTTTTAACATATCTGATGGTAGAATATATAAGATGAATAATCTTTTTTTCTTTCCTTAAATCTCCCTCTTACTTAAAATTTTAAGATGTTAACTATTGAATCACTTCCTTAGAACTAGAAAAGTTGTGGTATTTAGAATGACTGTAAAGATAAATTTATTTTTAAGGGATCGTTTCTTTGGGAGGTTGAGAACCAATTGATAGTCGTGGGATGTTAATCAGACAAATATAGATATTTGGTAAAAAAAAAATTTCAATCAGTAGAAATAGCTAACAGGCATTGAGCCATCAAATAGTTGCGTTTTTCAATGGCTATGCAAGGTAGTTTTTGGATTCAAAAGCGATTATGATTTAATTTTTGATTTATTTATTGATTTATATAAAATTTCATTAGGAGAAAATATTCGTCGTCCCCTCCTCGCCGCGTCCTTGTAGGTACCCCACATAATCGGAAAAATTGCCAACGCTACTTTGCCTCTCTAAAATCAATTTCTGGCTTCACCCTTGAGCAAATCCTTCTGGAATCTCATATACAGTTTTTTTTTTTTTTTTTTTTTTTTCACTTTTTCATTTCGACTAATATTACATTTAATTGAACTAATAATGGTGTGCAGAGGAGGAATGCCAAAGACATGAAGTCAAAACTCCAAAGGCTGAGGGAGGAGATGCAAGAAATTGGCGCTGAACAAAGAAGTATCAGAGAAGGACAAAGACAAGTTAGAGAAAAATTTGAAGCAATTGAAGCCGAATGCCAGAAGCTTAAGAGAGAAACTAGACTCGTTATCCAGCAGAGCGCTAGAAACAAAATCCGTCTGGCTATTATGTTTAGGATTCTTAAGGCACGCGAAGAAGGCGACTTTACAAAGGCAATCGAACTCACTAGGTTACTCCGGTATGGCTTCATCTCTCTCGCATTCATGTGCTTCACTCGGAAATCTTTCCTTCACAATTAAACTAGAACAAAAAAAAAAAAAAAATATATATATATATATATATATTAGATTGCTACGTGTTGAGTTTTGCTTTAATTTGATATTCTGATTTTTCTCCTTTTCGTTTCTTTGCAGTGAAATGGTTGTGAGGGACAATCTGTTAATGAGGGCACCGAGCGCACCAGCAAGTGATGAATGAAAGTTGAAGTTGAAGGTTTACTTATATCCAATTTGATTCCAGTTTTGTTTAACAAAGCTGTGTAATGTTTTATCTATAGCTATAGCTGTAACTGTGTGAGGGAAGTGTTGTATTATATTATTAGGAAAAGTATCTTAGGATTTGATAATTATATTTTAAAATAATGATTTATTATAAAATTAAATAT